AAACCGGACCTTCAGTCGAAGCACGTAGAGCTACGTTGATGAGCAAGGATTACCGAAGCCTTGAGGTCGTCGAAGAGTCCGACTGGGATCGTCTGAGCCACCGAGCTGCCTATAGTTCTTTGTAGACGAGATCGGAAAACGTCACACACGGTAGAGACACAGACACATCGGGGAACAAGGAGCATGAACCCCTCCACAAGCAATACTTCGGCGCAAGCAAGAATGGCCTAGGCAACCGGCGAGACAAGGGACAATACCTGTGTCAACGAATACAATGCATTCTTGAATATGGCGGGAGAAGTAACACCGTGCTGTGGCTGATGAACTAGACGAGAAGAACGGTGTCCTAAGAAACATCGTTAAAACTTGAAAATGCCACAAGTTCCACCACGACCGAAGATCGTTGACCAAGTTATCAGCGCGAAGGACAGCTACAACCCGATGCGGAGCTGTCTGATCGGAGCATGGAAGATCCCCTTGGCAAAAGGCGCAGTTGTGACGCTACCCTAGCCTAGTCAGTCGTGCTTCAGTTCTGGGGATCATGAGCTCTACCTATTATTGCAACAGAGAACAACATTGGTGGGCAACATGTGATAACGGCGTTCGATTGGGTTTGCTCCGCAGTATCAATCAGGATTGGTGGGTCGGCGTATGCAGTGTCTAGCAACTTCGTTCCAGATCACTTACAGCACCCGCAGGTTCGGAAGATTGTTGAACAATCCCACGGAACTCGAGCGCAGTCGTCCAGTGCAGGTCAATGATGTCGATGATTGGAGAACGATACAACGGACGAGCGATGAACCAAGAAAAAACCGACGGCCACGTACGGTGTTGACGAGTTTGGTAAAGAAAGTAGGCGGCCCAATGTACAAAGCCGATTGTATGGATGTCGGCTGGGTACTGTCAAGCTCAACGGCCTCTATAGGAGCTGTCCCCCGACGGAGAGAAGGGATGAACAAGGCATAGCGACCTTAGCTGGGGCTAGGCGTGGGTACCAATTTCTAGTATCGTCGTGCCACAGATGCAATGGTTCAACAGGATACCACATGTAATAATGGTGGGTGAATCATCACCAGTGGTGTTAATATTCGTAGACCCTCTGCCCTGGGGTCGTGGACAACGGCACATAGCCGTTGGAATTTACCTTGGCATACTCGAATATGTATGGCATTCAGAACCGACGTGGCAACACCGTTGATAGTATGTCGTTAACAGGTTTGGCTTACAACGTGAAAACCACCGTGCGGCGCGAAACACAGCTCAGGAGACCGCTGTAGTTCCATGTTCGAGCCAGGCGACTGCCACACACATATTGATCCCAAGATTAACCAATATATTCGTGGGAAGGAAAAAGGGAAACAGAGGTCATCTGCAGAAGGTAGGAAGGCTCGTACGCGGCGGCGACGGCGGAGGGGGGTGGCGGCGCCCCTGAGGGTGTGGCCTTGCTAGATTGGGTGACTTTAGTCGAACTACGTGCTTGCGACATCTTTGAAAATTACGGCAGCGTGAAGCTGGCAACGAGTCGGAAGTGCATGAAAACAGCAAACGTCTCGCCCCACAATCCCCCTTACATACGGGTGATGCCTCGTCCAGCGGCGTCGAAACACTCTCGCAGACCAGGCAGCTCAGCATCCACCAGGTATCCAAATCCCATCCGAACCCAAATTTCCTGATGGTTGAAGAAAAGCAGTCTAACGCCCACGGCATTGAAATGTTTGTCAGGTCCGACACAAGTCGCTCGACGCCGTGCAGGGTAACGCCAGGCGTAACCATTACTGACGGCACAGTCTACTTTCATGGGGCTGAGTACGTGTAGATAAACTCAGGCAGGGTTCCCAGTCTGTACAGAAAGCACCACCGATTTCGTGATCTGACCCATTGACGACGAAAAATCATGAACAACTCCAGTAACGGAGTCGGAGAATAAGGTTTGGTGCCCGGTTAAGGATCCTGCAATAAGCCAAGAGAACGGTAGCTGCTTTGCGCACCTGGACGACATTCAGGCATATTTGTAGTTAACAGCGTCGTCGGGATCCAGGTAAGGGACCAAGCCTAGAAGTATTCGCACGTGAAATTCGTGTGAGAACAAGAACTCATCGAGTGCGTGCTCTAGAGAGGAGCGGAGGAAGACACATGGAATATGAGGCGTCACCAGAGGAGCCTGGCTAAGGCTGCGAAAAATTCATTGGATCAGGGAGCTGTCAAGCACTTCATCAGGACGGCCGTTAGGGGGAGGCCACAGGACCGAATGGTTGAATGTAACCCAAACGACGCCAAACTGGTCAATTGAAGGTGATCGTGTACAGGGCAATTCATTCCGCCAACTTCAGCGGCGGAACCTCCATCTGGGTGTGTGTCGAAAAATGTCAGTTTTTTGCGCGGCTAGACACGTGGGGTAGGGTTGTGACATGGGAAACAATCTCTAAACAACATGCCTATCGAAGAGTCGTTGGGCGACCGTCTATTCTTGGGTATGAACCAAGCCGAAATGCAGCAGTTCTACCGTAAGCGGTGCTGCTTGGGACGTGTTCGTAGCGTTCTCCACTGTATGGTGAAGCAAAACAAGTTCGTCACGTTCACGTTGGGCGTCGCCCATCTGCGCCTATTGACGAATTCACACCGTCAGCAAGAGCCACACGAATTCAAGCCGTCAACTACCAGCCCAGACATCGACATAAAGGCCAGGTATTTATCCTGGGGAAGCCGAGCTATAAACTGCGTCTGCCTTACCCGTGTTATTAGCCCAGTTCTTCGTCTTGAATCGGTTCTGGTGTGGAATGGCGATGATGTGAAAGAGTGGCATGAGTGGGCTGCCAAGTTGTTGACTGTTGATGTGTTGAAGGAGGATGCGGCGCGATCGACGAGTTAAGGAGTTGTGCTGGAAAAAGGTATCGTTGAGCTGATTAATGGGACCACCAAACGCTTGCCTGTGGTTTCAGCCCCAAGCGACATGGTATAGTCTAGTTCACCAGCTCACGCCTTGGCGTCATGGTCCCTCCACATGAGATCAGTGAGATCGTGCAGCAATCCTTCCACCGCGGCGGCAAAAGAACACCGGGAAGTGTACAATGATGTCATTCCATACTTTTGCCTCGCAGTCTCTGTCGGCCATATCATGTAGCATCTCGATTCCGGTTCCACCTGTATAACACCAAGACTAAATGTACTTTGTAGACGAGCCGACGAAGGACCACACACAGCAGATAGCCCCACAAATCCTTCTCTCCCGGCCTACGGCGGCCATTGCTTCCCGAGAACAGCCCGCGGTGCACATGTCGCGCGATCGGCTTGGGAAGTGCATCCATGGCCAACGTCGCATGTCCTAACTGAGTGTGGGGGTTCAACCACCATCAGAAACAATATGAATGGCTCAGCCTGATGGGGGTTCGAGTATCGAGACTACAGAAGTCAAAAAGAGAGATTGTTTCTTGTATCATAGGACCAGACCAAGAGGGAAAACGATCAAGTTGTATTGAAAAGCAATCCAATCGGAGTGTCGTTGTTTGGGTATGAGTAGTCACGGAAGTACGCCCCTCCCCAAACGACAGAACGGGAGAAGGTGCACCTTGAACACCCTGCCCATGCTAGTTGTTCAAGCAGATGGACTTACCAGGACCAATGAGAGCAACGCAGAGACAAGTACCGAAGAGGAACGGCTTTGAGTGATTTGCCGGCTGGAGGACCTGAAAACGTGTGTAAGTCTTTTCCCGCCGACCCACCCCTATTCTTTCGAAGGTGTGGGGGGAGGAAAGGACCAATTGCAATCATTAGGGTGAAGAAAAAGTACCGCATTTTCTGCGTGGAAGTAAGATTTTGATGTTCCTACACCGGGGAAAATAGAACAAGTGGTCGCCTCAGCTGTGCATTACTGCACGTCGAGACGCCTGCACGGCCACAGCAGTCGCTGTACAGCTACTCTCTAAGCTGTGCGTACAGGTACGCAAACACACAGAGTGACAATATTATCCAAATCAGACACCCAAGCTGTCTTCACCTGACGGTTAACGACTTGGCAACGCCTTCACAATACCGCATCAAACCCATGCAATAGACTAGAAGAGTCGTTCTTGTGCGGCAAGCACTCCAACACATTATTTTGATCCCAACCCTTGCAGTAGCTTGATTTGGCGAATTGGCAACCTATTTCGCATGAAAGACATCCGACAACGTCAAAGGAAAGGAAGCGAGTCTACTTGTAGATATTACATAGTGCATTTAAGGGCCTAATAATGTAGGACGACACGGATGCATCCGTTCGCGTTGTGCTCTGATTGGTGATGGCGTGCCAATTTGTCTCGGTGTGTGTGCAAGAGCATTGTACCCCGAAGTTCCGGTGGTCTAATTCAGCGTCCCACAAGTTCGTCACACTGCACAGGGGTGCACTTGAAAGCAAACTAGCGAAGTCGAGATAATTGATTCCGCACATCGGTCCTAAGTGTGAAATACCCCTGGTTTTGCGCGGTGGTCGCCAAAGTGAAAGAACGAAACAAATGCATCTCGAAGACACCCCCGGGCTACCACGTGAAGTAGTACTCATGTCATTGGTTGCAATAATTTTGGCGTTGAGCAACCGCCCGGTCATCGCTCACCGGCGTTGCAAGTGTTACACAAGCCGAGCCCTCCAAGTCGATGCAGGAGGATTTACCAACAGAGAGCTCGCAAGAATATTATTCCGCCTGTAGACTGTCACTTAAAGAGGAAACTTCACGAAGACTCACCGCATGCTTTCAGCGGTGCAATGCAGGTCGGTGCAAACCTACTGTAAACGCCAATAGTTGCATGGAGGTTGAAACCGGGAGTAATTACCCTCTGTTTTACCCTACAGAACAATTCTGTGAGTTCTGTAGCACACACGGTACCCCACAGAGATTACCCTCTTGTTCTGTATACAATACCCTAACACTTCTGTGAGTTCTGTGACGGTCGTGCCACAATACCCTACACTTCTGTGAGTTCTGTAGCACATCCCGTACCCCACAGAGATTACCCTCCTGTTCTGTATGCCGGCGGCACAATTACCCGCGGTACGGGTAAACATTTGTGGAACTACCCTCCACATTTGTGATTACCCCGGGATGCTGACGTCAGTCCAACTTGAAGCGTACCCTCAAAAAACACCACACAACACACAGAGCAAGACCCTCCTTCAGCAGAGAAACAGAACACATCTGGTCGACGTGGTGAACAACACCGCGAACGACATTGGCGTGTAGACTGACTGTCGGGGGGGGGGGTGTTCAGGAGAGACCCCTCTTTGCTTCTCGCTACTGCTGTTGTGTTGGGAAAAAGTCGGATGGGAACGGAGTTTGCCCCTTGCCTGCTGGCGAGGAGTAGTCGTGGGGTCGCACCACGAAATCCTTTGCACTCAGGTTTTCAGTCTTGATCTTTTTTTCGTCGTGCAGGTTTTTCCCCCTCTGGGAAGTGGAGAGGGTAGAGGAAAACGTAACATAGTCTAAACGTGAAATGCTTTTTGTTTATGTTTATGTTTTTTTTTTAGCAGTAGTCCTCCGCTGTCACCTGGGAAGTTGAGGACTGGGATATATAGGGGCCGTGCGCAAGCACGCTTCATGTTTCAAGTCTTGGTTTAGTACCTTGAAACCGAGTCGAACGAAGGCAAACAGCAGTGTGCAAATACAGAGACTCGCGCGGGTACCGAGGGTAATGACCGTCTGTAGTTACCCTACAGATACTCTACAGAGCCTACCCTGTGAGTTCTGTGACGGTTGCACCACAGTACCCTACACTTCTGTGAGTTCTGTAGCACACACGGTACCCCACAGAGATTACCCTCTTGGTCTGTATACAATACCCTAACACTTCTGTGAGTTCTGTGACGGTCGTGCCGCAATACCCTACACTTCTGTGAGTTCTGTGACGGTTGCACCACAATACCCTACACTTCTGTGAGTTCTGTAGCACACCCGATACCCCACAGAGATTACCCTCTTGTTCTGTATACAATACCCCAACACTTCTGTGAGTGCTGTGACGGTCATGCCACAATACCCTACACTTCTGTGAGTTCTGTAGCACATCCCGTACCCTACAGAGATTACCCTCCGGTTCTGTAACAGATCCAATACCCCACAGACATTACCCGTACCCTACAGAACCTAACCTTGGAAGGTTTCGAATGAACTCACAGGGTCACCGATTGACAAAAGAACGAGATGAGAGTGACCTGAGGGTGACATATATATCCGAATGAGCCAGCCATTGTCCTCACGCTCAGGATTAAGCAACGCGCGTTCAACACATTCCGGTGGGTACTGGAGGATGTTCTGTCGCAGATGTTTTTTCGTTTCGAACAAGTAGTCTAGTGCACTTGCCTGATGTATAGATTCCAACTTCTGTTTTTGAAGTGAATTCCAAACGACCTACAGGGAGGGGTGCATATGGTTCTCAGGGGCATGCTAATCTACCGAGTTGTTCTCGTACTTGCATTTCATTCGTGGCATCGACCTTTACGACAACAATACAGTTGCTGCTGCCACCGCGACGGGTACGCCGTTGCGCTGCCTAGGAACAGACACCGAGTGATTCCCGACATCACGGCAAGATGTTCGAGTGCTCGCTTCTCTCATTGGAACAATGGGATGTTCCCCGACACCCTACCGTACACTTTCGTCTGTCTGCGCTGCCGTTTGAAATATTTGGGTTTACCACGGATGGCCGTGCCGTCTTCTCTGGCGGGCGGCCGCCGACTCAATCTTGGTAGCCTACTACTGTACGCACCACACACATAAGGGGAAAATTCAAGTACAGTGCACAGTGGCTTCAGCAAGCGATCAACCGCTCCTTGCTGAGAAGCCCACAGAAAAAAAAAACAGACAACCTTGTGCTACATATGGTAGTAAAGTTTTAAATTTTAAGCCTCAACAACGTCGCCACAACATGATAGATAGCTTGTGCACTTTTGAAGTGGCATATATCTCAACCAAGATGTTGTCCCATTGCTGTAATGATGGTCTTGTGGCCAACCTAAACATTGCCGGGTGCCAACCCATCCTTGTTTCTTGTCTTTTGCCGAGCTCCGAACTGAAATATTGCAGTTGCTAAGGTCCACTTACAATCAATGTGGATTTTCGTGGCCGCTGCCTCGCCGTCGTTCGAGCGCCCGGAAGCGTCACGTTTCAAACCACGTGCAGAGTTTGGGCCAGTGTTCGCAGTGGTCCCAAACACCTCTAGGTTAGACTAGACTATATTTCCTTCTTTCTTAGGCTGGGCGCTCGTATCACGAACGGAGTTTGGCGCCTCGGGTGGAGTAAAGACCCTTCGGCTCTAAGGACGTATTCAATACCGCGTCCTTCCACAGTTTATCAATCCGCCGAGGTATTCCTAACAAGGTTAGGGATCGAGCTGCCCAAGGTGTTGTAGGTGGCAACATCATCAAGGCGTTCGCTCGTGGCAGCGTAAAACCGGTGAGTTCAGTCATCTGACGAACTCTGTTGCTGTGATGATGTACATATATACAGCAGTCGTACGGCGGTCCAGCAGCTGTATGTAGTGTAAATACAGCAGGAGTGCTACTGCTGCTGCTGTTGTTTAAAACTACTCTGTCACAGGTTGGTGTAAACGACTGACTTTCAGCATGGCGTACATGTATGTGTACAACTTTTTCAAACATTCTCCGTTTGCCTCAAGTTCTTGAGGAAGGCAAGGACGGTACAGTAGACACAATGGCGAAAAAGAACGCGTACACGAGCGCCGTCCCAACCGTATTTTGTAATTTTTTTTTGCTGCACCGTGATACAAACACTGGAGAGACGGTCATGTAATCATCCCTTGCCCCATCTGCATAGATAGATATATATTTGCCATCGACATGCACGCAATTTCAGGTCCACAGCTCGTTGAATTNGTCCCAACCGTATTTTGTAATTTTTTTTTGCTGCACCGTGATACAAACACTGGAGAGACGGTCATGTAATCATCCCTTGCCCCATCTGCATAGATAGATATATATTTGCCATCGACATGCACGCAATTTCAGGTCCACAGCTCGTTGAATTACCTGCACCTCAATTCCGCCCTTCTCCTACCGCGCCGTGCAGATTGAGCGAACTCGCGGTGGTGTCACAGAGCATGTGTCCGGTATCAACTTCCCACCTCCGGCCCCGGAGCGGCGCATACCGTGCCCTCACTGTCCCATGACCTTCGTGAACGAGCAAGGACTTGGGATCCACATGAAAACACAGCACAGCAATGCAAACATGCCCAACGGCTTGCGGCTGCAGCGGATGCTAGTGAAGACTCCCAAAGGGTATGTTCAGCCGTGGGGAGAAGCCGGGCATGGACGTTGTTGGCACGTGAAGGTCGATGGTGCGACGGGGGCGGCTTCGTTCGTCCTCCAACGGAAGCGCTTCCGCGATCTCGACTTGGAAAGCGACGGCTTTACGGACCGCAAAGTCAAGGAGACTCGTGGAGCTGTGAAACGCAAGCGATACGATTTCAGGTTCAAAGCCCATGTTGTGACCCAGCTGCGCCTCCTCCAGGAAGACGCCGCGGACCTCTTCAAGGAGGAGCAGCTCACGCCTCTCCAGTACTTAGAGGACCGTCTCAAGGTTAACTACAGCCTGATCGTGAAATAGGCTCAGGCCAATATAGTCCAATCGGCAGCAGATGACGTGAAGAAGACCCTCCTTGCCAAACAGCAGCCAAAGCGGTGGTTTCCTGAGGAAGAGAAGAAGCTGTACAATATGTTCTTGGCGCGGCGGAGGAGGAAGCTGAAGGTGTCGACCCTGTGGCTGACGGTCACGTTCCGGAAGCTCGTGCAAGAGAATCACCCTGAGGACCAACGGGCGGCGGCGTTCAGCGCGTCCTTCAGGTGGGCACGAAAATGGGCAAAGAGGCATAAGCTGTCCAAACGGCGCAGGAGCAACCTCAAGAACAAGTCTGTTGAAGAGCGCCTACCAAAGATCCAGCGCTTCCACCGGCGGTTTCGCAAGCTCCTGCAAGAGCCGGTACGGTACAGGGCACCCGAGGCATCGGACGTGTCGGCGATGTCGACGGTCGCGGAGGGAGAGTCCAGAGATCCCAAGTACGGTCAGTTCCAGCTCTGGGAGCGTTGGAATGTGGATCAAGTGCCTTTGCCATTCGTGAACAGACTGATCAGCACGTGAGAGAAGACAGGCGCGTTGCGTGTAGCCGTCTCGCATCCCTTTGCTGGCCTAGAGAAAAGGCAGTGCACCATGCAAGTCATCTTTGGTCCGGGTGAGAAGACTATGCGGATTCCGGTGATTTTCCGAGGCCAGGGGAAGCGGATTTCGCCGGTGGAGAAAGCCGCGTACCACAAGGACGTGGACGTGTTTTTCCAGGAGAATGCGTGGGCGGACCAAAAGTTCTGCATGGAGTGGGCCAAGAGGTCGTACCGCGAAGGCCTGATCCGCGGGCGGGGTGAGCTCCCCAAGGCGAGGTCCATTCTGATAATGGACAACTTGCACGCGCAGACCACGGACGAGTTCAAGGGGTATCTTGCGAAGCAGTGCAACACTATCGCCTGGCTTGGCCCTGCGGAGTGCACGGACGAGGTGCAGCCAGTTGATGCAGGAGCCGGACGATTTCTCAAGGTGGAAGTTGGTAACGAGATGGACAAGTGGCTCGATCAGTCGGACAACATCGAGAGGTGGGAAACCGCGTCGCTGACAGCATCTGACCGGCGCGTCCTGATCACTCAATGGACGGGAGCGGCCATGGCAAAACTCAACAGCAATCAGGGGTACCGACACCGCCTTTTCGAAAAGTGCGGGATGGCGATGACCGTGGACGGCTCAGGCGATGATCGAATCACCTTGGAGGGTTTGGACCAGCCGTACACCTTCGCAAACGATGAAGACTCCAGCGAGAACGAAGGAGGTTCGGAGGACGGCAGCGATGGGCCCGAGGGGCGGGAGGAGGAGGGCGCCGGAAGGCGCGAGCCGGTCGTCGGGGATGAGCGCAACGGTGCCAACAGCGGGGAGGGCATGGAGGGCGCTGGATACAGCGATGAAGACGACGACAGTAAGTTTGATTGGCACTACATTGACTACAGTTAATTCATTGCCCTTTTGTTCATCTTTTCTTGTGCTGTTTGGGATATTGCTGATATTCTGTTTCCGCGTCACGTCTACGAACAAATGGTGTGTTCACTTCAGTTGAGTAACGGCGATGACACCCGTACGTTCCTTCTCGTGTTTCACGGTACCCTTCGTCGCAGACATGTCTCAATCCCAGACCGACGAGCTAGCTCTTTTGGACGAGGACGACAGCATGGACCCAGACGACCCGGAGGACGAGACGCAGGGAATGGAGATCCCGGCGGGCTTTCGCCTTCAAGAACCTACCCCCGCTGCTCTCGACAGATTGCTTTTGCAACGTGGAGTGTTTGTTCGGCTGGGCATGGGGTGGTTCGGTGGGTTGATCATTCAGCAATCTCCGCAGCGCCACCTGTGCGACTACCGTGTGCAGCTGGAAGTAGACCACAGTACGCGCAATATGAAGCTGCCCTTAGACAAGTACAGCGGAGATCCGGACGCGGCGGTAGGCTCATGGGTTTTGCTTGAGAGCGTCAGTAGGGCGGGAAGGGTACGCACCCCCAACGTCACTCTTGTGGACCAAGACGGTTGACAGTTGCCCCATGGGGGGGTGTTTGCGGGTATGAAACTCTGCGTCGAGTGCAGTTGAGTAGTGCACCAATTGAGCAATCGATTATGAAATAAATACAAGAACACCGTTTCTGGAGACAACTGGACGACGAAATCAGAACCTGGCAAATAAGAACTTGTGCTCGGCTTGGGGTAGCCAACAAGAAGCGAGCCTCGCTCCAAATAAGAGGTTCTTAAGTGCGGGCCGGTTCTGTAGCTTTTCGAAAATGTATCATTTCGTTTGTGCATCTTCTTCGTCGTGGAGTAATCGAGCTTTGAAAAATCCGTCCAGCGGGTGTGTTATCTTGTGTCATATACGGTAGGCTAGACTACGAGGATTCCACTTTTTAGTCGAGACCACCGGGGCGACCGATGTAGCATGCTGACATGCTGAAGATACAAGGACAGCTTGGGACAAGTATGTGTGTACAGCCTACTACTACTACAGCTGCAGTGCTCCTGTGCTGTTGGATGTTCTACAGCGAACACCATCCACCCGGACTCTTTGTCTTGTCTTGCACTCACTCGATCTCATCTGGGGGGCTTGCTTGGGATTGCTATGTTTCAGGCGGGTCACGATGTCCCATACTGGACGGCCTTGTGAAGCTAAATTCGTCGTCATGCATGCCTTCCTCGCCGGCACCGTGCACGACCTTGACCTCGACCTCCGTCGTGGCACCAATGACATGCACGTTGTCGAACACAACAAGTGTAGGGCTGGTATCTCACTGCTGTCCCGGGAATACCGTACGTAGCGGCGTCTCATGTTTTGTATTTGGGCTTTGTATTTCGTTGCCACGGGGCCCCTCCGATGGGGGCGACGCGGACGAGATTTCGGCAGGTGAAGCAGCCCGGTGATGAGAGCCGGCAGCCTCGTCACAGCACTGTACCCGCGCGATAAACACACCCACTCTACTTGTCGGGATCGGGCTACGCGTGCGTGGGGCAGAGAGGATCAAAAGGCTGGCACTGCTGGTCAAGTTTTCGAAACCCGACGGCACAGGAACGTACGCACAGCGGTGTGCGAGGATCAGACTTTTGAAATCTCGTCGTCAGCCCATCTGCAGCAACCGTTTTGAAAGTCGACCGGCGAGCGAGAGAGATAGAGCGCAGCTAGCACGGGCGGGAGAGCTGCTGGGAAAGAGCGGGAGCAAAGAGCTAGACGCGGAGCTGAGCTACTACTGCTGGTTGTGATCGAGCCAAGCATCATCAGCGGCGAAGATGTTCTACTCTCAGATCATCCTCGCCAAGAAGGGGCCGCTGGGCAAGATTTGGATTGCTGCCCACTGGGACAAGAAGCTCAACAAGGCGCAGATTTTTCAGACGAACATCAACACCTCCGTAGGTGGGTGGAGTCCCGACAGGGTATCACCAGCTGCAGCAGTAGACCTTGGCAGTGGCCGCAAGCTCGTGGCACGAAAAAGACAAGATGTTGTGTGAAAAAGTGGAGCGGTTCTTTCCATTTTCGCCGTTGTACTACTGCTGTGCTGCTGTACATCGTTTGTGCTTCGTGCTCGAGCACACCCCGGGGGCTCCCGAAGCCAGCATCTCTATCTCTCTCTCTTGGTCTCCTGCCGAAGCCGTCGTGCTACAGCTGGCGTAAGGCAGGGCGTCTTAAACAGCAGTACATTTTCGTATGCCATGCCCGCTGAAATATAGCAGTTGTAGAAGGCGCTAAATGGCACCACCGGGAGACTCGCATTTAATGGATGCCTCCCTTGCACAAGACACCGCAGCCGTTGGTAGTTTTTGTTTGTGTACCTCGCTCCCCCCTGCCGACGAGCTTTTTGGGTGTGTGAAGGTGCTGTGTGGCGCATGTGGGATGGTGCTCTCAAACAGATAGTTGTGGTGCACTGGGGCGGCGGATGTTGACCGACCGAACTTTTCATCGTCATCTTCTTGGGACGCAAGTCTTTTGTACAGCAGCACCATCCAGCTACATCACAAGTACCATGAGGCGAAATGTTTGTCCGGGGGCAATGGATAGGCGGGAGCCATCGTATGAGCCCTTGCAAGAGCCATAGTATGAGCCAAAGGCCCTTCGCCCTTCGCGAGAGCGGCCAATCCAAAGAGATGCAGTCCGGTAGGAAGCGCGGCAGCAGTACAAGCACCTATGCTACGTCAGTTCGTGTTGGTGTGTTGGAGTGGAATTGTGGGGGTGACGCAGACCGGAATGTTCGTTCGTGCCCACCTGTTAACGACAGCGGTACTGCTGTACGTGGTTGTGTTTCGTGGTATAAAACAACAATAGCATATGTGCATTACGTGTAAGGCGTAACCGACTGGCCAATGACACGAGGTTGTTAGTCTTTTGGCGGGAAAGAGTCGCGACTTCGCTCTCGACCGCCGTGGCTGCTGTACCAGATGTAGGTTGCATGGCATACCACACACCCCTGGACCGATTTTCAAAGCTCGACTCCTGTGCAGCGAAAACAATGACGGTGCTGAGAATCACGGCATTTCGAACTACTCGTCTAGCGCTTTCTGAAAGCGAATTGTTTGATGTCGGCATCCTTGTCGTCGTGGAGTATTCGAGCTTCGAAAATCGATCCAGGGCGTGCTATCTTGCAACATGTCACCTACGGCACCTCCTGCGGTACCTCTTCAGGAGGGCCGCGGAGGCTGTTTTGCATTGACTGCGCCAAATGAAACATAGCTAATATAGCGGACTGATAGGAGCGCCCGCCATATGTTGTAAAGCACAAGAAACCACACACATGCTGTCCATCGTCAAAATGTATGTATTGTCGTGCTTTCAAACGGAGCAGCAGAGACATGTGTTCGTGCAGGGAAGCTAAAAACAATCAGCTGAAAATGAAGTGCAACCATTGTACTGCTGTGTACTACCGAGTGTCGGCTGGGCGCGGGACACGGTCTTGTATACTAGCCCGCGCGCTCGATGCCCCTCTCGTATCCAATCACTCGTCGACACGCACGGCTGTAGCCCCACAGTCCTCCTCAAGTCTCCCTCATTTTTGTTGCCCGCGCCCTCGCTCGTCACACGTACGTTCGCCTTCAGAGAACATCCTGCAGCCTACAGTGCCCCTGGCCCTCCGAATGTCGGGGCATCTCCTCCTCGGCTTGGTCCGCATCTACTCAAGGAAGGTCAAGTACCTCATGTCGGACGCGAGTGAGGCCCTCGTCAAGATCCAGATGGTGGGTAGGGTTAGGGTTAGGCTTGGTTGTCCAGTGATAGAGAGAGGCATGTATTGCAGGGAGACGGAGTATTTCCTAGTGTACAGTAGAAACCCCTCCTTAGGTGCCGGTTATGGGCCCAGAAAATTCACCGGTGCTAGACCGGACACCGGCACTATTCGAAGAACAGAATGGCTTGGTAATTCAGTGTGTTCTCAACGAAATGGCCGGCACTAAACAGGGACCTCGATGTAGTGTACCCTACGTTGTTTTTATTGCTACTACGCCGTGGTCGGGACAAGGGAGGTCGGGGAGCTTGCGAGGGGGGATGGAAAGGGGCAAGGAGACGGTTTTCGAGAGGTAGCCGTAGTACGGGTTGCTGTGTTTCGCATTCTGTAGGTTGCGGTGCTAAAAAAGAATAGTCCTGATCTCGCATCACTGTCATGACAATGTATGCGCGTTCCGGCGCTCGCTCCAGCAGGGTATTGTAGCCAGAAAGTCCCGGCCGAGATCTTTTTCGGAATCCCGTTCTACTGTACTTTGAGACAGGGTCGGGAGGGCGTTGAGCGTTACTGCAGATGTTGCTGTAGATGTTACTGTAGACATGGAAGCAAAGAGCGGGGTTTCGTGTCCGTCACGCTAACCCCAAACCCAACGCTTAACCCCTTCCAAATCCAACCTTAGAGTTAAGTATCCTCGCGAACGCTGTAAGGCTGGGCGTCTCTGGGGTGTGATTTATGGGTACATGATATTTCGGTATTCCAAAGACGCAGCCCGCATCATCGTACAATCTGCACAAGCATGTTTTTACTCCAACCTGTGTCTCGGGGTTTCGGTCGGTTTTGGAAAAGGCTTTTCGGCCGGGGGCCACCGACATGCCCAGGGGAGCCACCGTCGCTGCGCCTGGCGCCATTGAAGCCCAAGGCTTCGGAGAGTTCGACGAGTTGGGCATGGACGGCGGGCACATGGATGTCTTCAGCAAGTGAGTTTGTATGTTGGATGCTGTAGCAGTAGGGCAGGAGACAATCCTATGCATACGTATCCAGAGACGCACCGCCAGGTGCAGTAGCAACAGGAGTAGGATGTGAAGGCCCTTCCGACTTTCACCAGCGACATCGAACGACAGCGGTTACACTGGAATATCCTGTTGATCTTCACTAGCAGCAATATCAAGTACGGCAGTAGTAGCAGCAGCAGCAGCAGCAGCAGCAGCAGCAGCAGCAGCAGCCAACGTTAACATCACCAACAGCAACATAAGCACCGGCTACAAGTGCCAGGCTAGCGACAGCAGCACCATCATGCATGACACGGCAACCCGCCGTGTTTCGCCCCTCTTCTTGGCCTGTTTGTGTCGTGTAAACACACGTTTATCCACGTTTAACTCTGGTATGTACATGTTCACAGTGCCTTTGCTGTGGACAACTGGATGGAGGAAGCTCCAGCGAATCTAGCCAGGAGGACCGACATCACCCTCACCGATCCCGCAGAGAACATGAGCTCCATCAGCGGGCAGGTAGGCTACGCGTATGGTAGATATCATTTAAAGCAAACGAGCATGTCCTTAGAGGGCTAATTTGTTCATTTTTTTCCATGGTTTAGGTGCGTATTTGACTTCGGTTGTGTTGTTCTCTACTGATGTAGAAACCTGCATCACGCCAAAGAACCCTTTGCAACGGACTTATCTTCAAACCAAGCGTAGTAGCTCTGCCTTCGTTGTTGTCGTTCACTTGCCGGACCAAACAACACGTTTTTGTTTTCGTTTCTCACAACCCGTGGCGGCAGGACCGTAACGGCAGCTTCATGCTGGGGGAGAGCAGCATGGACTTTTCGCCGTTCGGTGGGGGGGGTGCCGCAGGCGGTGGTGCTGGCAGCGAGAGTAGGATGAGCATGGACCGCTCTTCCCGCGTGTCCCGCGTCAGCGACATCGAGGTGCGGGTCAGGCTTTTTTATCACCGTTGCTGTAGCGACGTTGGCGTTTTCTGTTGGTGGTATCGCTTCGGTGCTCATGCTGACGCCTGTCAAAACATCAAGCGAGATTTTCACTGCTTTAGTAAAGTGATGAAAATCAACCGTGGTTTCGACGTGTGGTAATACTCTGGTTCATGTCGTCGTTCCGGCTGTCTCCTCGCAATCAATTTGACGCTTTCCTCTGGTTGGAGATTTTCCCCCCGGCAGCCTCCTCTCTCTCTCTCTCTCTATCTCTCTCTCTCTCTCTCTCTCTCTCTGCGTAATCTTTTGTGTGAAGGTTGTGGATGGTTGCACTCCGACGAGCCCTCCTCTCCGATGCTTGCCATAGTCCATTGTTGATATGCGAGCGTGCTAGTCGCCCCTGCTAAACGCCACCATGTGTGTTGCTGCCTTGTTACTGCAGCAGCTGCGACCGTACGTACCCTGCATCGATCCCTTTCTTGCCCCTGATCGTATGTGCCCTGGATCGAGTGACCCTCTTCTTCCCTCTCCGTGGTGTACGTGTGCGTGTCTGCGACGTGTCTGTCTGACTGCATCAGGCCGTACGAGACGGCGACAACAGCAGGCTCCGCTCGGGACACCTGAGCATGAGCATGGACGTCATGGCCGCGGACGAAGGGCAGGTGAGTCCACGGAGATTTCGGAGATCGTAGGTGGCGCTTGATAAAATCCGGGCCCACGGAAACCTTCCGTTTTCGCTCGTCCTGCTGGTCCCTCCGACGGACTAGACTGAGGTTATCTTCTCAAGACGTTTCCCTTTTCTTCCCCGATCTTTCCCCTAAGCTTGGGGGTGCTACTGCTGCAGACTATCGATCCAAGTTAAGCCCCGAAATATGGAAGACTCCAAAAATACCCGTCTACATCAAGCTCCTACTCTTACAGCAACTTCATGGACTATCTTGTGGACGGTGTGCGTGGAAATTAGGGGACGGGTATCAAAAACACACATGCGTGGTACAATCGTTTCTTGTTTTGGGAGGGGAGGGGCGAGTTCAACCATTGTCCATGTGAGGATAGTCGATGCGTAGATCCTGTGAAGGAGGCCTATCCCGACACACAGCAATCGATCAGGCGGCAGCTCTACGCTGGCTTCGGCAACGTCTCTCACGTCCTCAACAAATGTTGGATCGACCGAACTACAACCAATCGAAATGGAGAGGCGCCCATGCACACAGAGGGGAAGCGTCGTTGTCGCCCGCGTTGATGAGTTTTCCTGTGTGGATGTCCTCTAACGTGTTGGGTGGATGTTGAGGCACCTAGGGAGTGTCCTTGTCCCCTCATGCGGGGGTGCCTTGGGGTGAGGTTTGTGTAGGTCGGTGCAGCGAGAAGAGGGGGAGGGGGGGGGCACGGTGCCCCTGGCGGGAAAAACCCTCACCAAGTCCGCCGTGCGTAAGGTACAGACGGCTTCAGATTAGGCTCTGGTGTTTTCCTTGCAAGACCTTGTCGCTCTATGATGTATTCGCCAGGCAAGACCTTGTCGCTCTGTGATGTATTCGCGAGGCAATAAACTTGTCGGTTGTTTCGCAGATGGACGGCGGGTACGATGACCTGGGCCCTCCCACGCACCCGAACGAGTTGGCGGACATCGGGGGAGGGAGGGAGCTAGACGACGCGGCCGAGATGATGGACTTCGGCAACGACGGCGGCGATGGGTTTGACGAGCCTGAGGTAGACGCGCCGGAGTTCAACCCGGACATGGAGGAAGACCTGGGACAGGTGCGTTCTGTTGTTGGCGGATCACGACCGCCCTACAGCAGTAGGTCGGCTGACCATCAAAGAGATTGTGTTATTTGGTGTTGGTTTGTTTGTGTTGTTCTGTTTGTGCCATCGGCCACGCTCTCCGCCTGGCCGATGGAAAAGAGGCCAATCTTACGAGGTTAGCGGTGTAGAAGTCGCCAGCACAATTTGTAGATGTACTACGCTGGCTCCCTCGTTCCCTCTACCGGAAGAAAGGCGGTGGGGCGGGAGGTATATTTGCTCGGCAGGGTCCCAGTCTCCATGTTCACAGCCCTTGCAGGAGATGAGAACACGTCACTGTCGGAGGATGCGCGAGAACAAAACTTGTTTTATTCGTCCGCCCACACGTGATAGCGTTGTTCTCTCTCTCTCTCTCTCTCTCTCTCTCTCTCTCTCTCTCTCT